TTTTTTTTTTTACTAAATATCTGTTCTGTAGCCATACTCGGTTCAATCGTTGGCGATGTTCTTTTGAACACAGTAATTGAAAAGGATGAAGATGAACTTGACACTCAAGAGACGATACTCGTCCGTCTCCTGCGGTTTGACAAGAAAATGTGGAAATGTTTGTTTTCTTTTTTCGTTTAAAATGCTATTTGTTCGTGTTGTTGAACTCTAAGGTGATTGTCATGCTTGTTTCACACTCACTAAATTACTCAAGTATTGACTGTATCATTTTAGCTGCACGTGCGAACACCCACCAAATGTTGATGAAGACCGTGCTTATGAATTTTGATCAAAAAGTGGTCTTTTCAAAAACTTTCCTTGCGGTATGTTATCGGTCTATTTCCCGTAACGATAGCCACTTTTTCTGTTCCCTAATTTTCATTATTCCTAGCACTATGAGGATATTTACAAGGAGTTTATTGATGACGATCATGACCTTGATATATCAGTTGTCAGTCTTACTGTACAGTTCTTGACGGTACCTAGCATAGCAAGGTAAAGTGTTGATTCCCTTCTTTTATTCGAATGTCTTTATTTTCTCATGATTTAGACGTTTGATCGCTGAGGATGATGCTATGCGCACAATATTCTCAGCACTTATAAAACACACGGAAGACTTTGCCAAAGGTTTCAGCCTTTTCGGCGCTTCCCCAACTTTCTGCTTCTACCGCTATTAATTTTCCATTCTAGATCCCAAAGACCAAATGTCACGATTTGATTTTGCCAAACACTCATTTCCTGTTACGGTTAGAAGGGGAATGCACATGATGCGAGATCTGGGGTGCGTGTAGATCGTGGACTGTATCATCTCGTCTCGTCGAATTTCCTTATCGCTCAACTGATACATCCATGTTCAGATATATCTTAACATGCGTTCCATCAATAAGTGACTGGAATGATAAGTTGCGGGATAAATTTCTGGACGGTTGCCAATCGCTCATAAAATTTTTGCACAGGATGCAGGTGGGCAATTTTGTTCTATTGATAGTCTTCTTTAGAATTTTTGGTCGAAGAACACTGTATGTTGAGTGGTTTTAAATTTGGAATTTCTCTAGTCCACCATTCTTATAGTTATATAGAAAACAATCATTAAGGGTATGGATGAAGTGAAGCGACAATCAGTGGAACACCAAGTGTGGGAGTTGGAATGGGAAACAGCATTCAACATTCAGCTCAGAATTCAAGATATTCTTGGTTACGTCATTGCTTGGGCTGGAGCTGACGTGAGTGCTTCAACTATTTTCCGTTGCTCATTTGCTTTGATGTGATATATTTAAACCAATTCGTGATCGTTTTTTTCCAGCGAGCAACACATCGAAAGTTGCTACTACAGTGTTTGGATGCTCTGAATCAGCATCCACCATCGACTCTGGAAGAACCAGCTGGAGCTACCCATACTGTTGTGGATGGTAGGTTACGAGATGAGATTTCAAAAATTTTTTCATATAGTCAAACCTGGAATGAGGCAAATTCACTAATGAGGTGGCAACGCGATCGAGCATCAGGTGCCTCCATACTTCATGAAAATATGGAAACACTCTCAATAATCCTAACCACTGCGGCAGAGGTCTTACAGGGGGAGACTATATGGAAAGATCTTTGAAATCTCATTTCATACTTATTGGTCGTAAGGCATACCATTAGATGCATCTCAAACTGCTGACTTACCGCCCTTATCTGCAAAACGTTTTCCTAAACGAAGTTACGAAATTTTTTCTCCGCATTATTGGTTGCACTATATGCTAATTATTGCTTAAATACTTTAAAACGCTCTAAATCATGAATAAGCCT